CCCCCACCCCGGGCGACGAGCACGCGGCCCGGGGCGGGCTGGCGGGCGGGGCGGGGCCCCGGCCCGCCGGGAGGTCGCCCGCGGTCGGTCACCCACGACGGGGAGCGGAGATGACGGAGCGCACGTCCGCCGCCGCGGCCGCCTGGGCGAGCGTCTTCAATATTCACCATGAACCAAGAGCGGAGCTGGCCCGTCTCAGCGCGCCTGCCAGTCTCCTTCCCGGGGACTTATCCCAACTGTAATTAGACAACAGGTTACGGGGTCGCCCCGCGCCCGCCTCCGCGGGGACACGCAGCCTGGCCGAGCGCAAGGAGGGCCCGGCGAGGTCCGCGCGTGTCCCCCGCCCCCGCCTCTCGCGGGGGCTTCCGGCCCGGCCTCCGGGAGGAGCGGGAGGAGCGAGGCGGCGCGAAGGCGCTCCTCTTGCGCTGCACCGGCTGTCAGATCCGCGGCTGCGAGGAGGGACGTGGCCCAGCCCGGCTCTGCGGTCCGCCCTGAGCTCCCCGGGGACGCCGCGGCGCTGCTCTCCATCGCCACGGTCACCCCGCCCACTGGCCTTTGGGGTCACAGCAGAGCGCCCCCTGTCGCGTCTCCGTAGCCACTGCCTGTGGGGTCACATCAAGGCCCCTTGTCCCGGCGCCCTGGCTGCTGGCCCGTGGGGTCACAGCAAGGCCACTTGTCCCGTCGCCCTGGCCATTGCCTATGGGGTCACAGCAAGGTCCCTTGTCCCCTCGCCCCGGTCGCTGGCCTTTGGGGATCACAGCAGAGCCCCATCCTGTCACCCCGGCCACTGGCCTGTGGGGTCACAGCAGAGCCCCCGGTCCCAAGGGCCCGGGGCCGCTGGCCTGTGGGGTGACAGCAGAGTGCCCCCTGTCCCAAGGGCCCTGGCCACTGGCCCGTGGGGATCACAAAAGAGCCCCTTGTCTCATCACCCCGGCCGCTGGCCTGTGGGGTCACAGCAGAGCCCCCTGTCCCCAAGGTCCCGGCTGCTGGCCCGTGGGGTCACAGCAGAGACCCCTGTCTCATCGCCCCGGCCGCCGGCCTGTGGGGTCACAGCAGAGCCCCATCCTGTCGCCCCGGCCACTGGCCCGTGGGGTCACAGCAGAGCCCCCTGTCCCCAAGGTCCCGGCTGCTGGCCCGTGGGGTCACAGCAGAGGCCCCTGTCCTGTTGCCCTGGACGTTGCCTGTGGGGTCACAGCAGAGACCCCTGTCTCATCGCCCCGGCCGCCGGCCCGTAGGGTCACAGCAGAGCCCCATCCTGTCGCCCCGGCCACTGGCCCGTGGGGTCACAACCGAGCCCCCTGTCCCCAAGGTCCCGGCTGCTGGTCCGTGGGGTCACAGCAGAGCCGCCTGTCCCATCGACCTGGCCGCTGGCCCGTGGGGTCACAGCAAGGCCCCTTGTCCCGTCGCCGCAGCTGCTGGCCCCTGGGGTCACAGCAGAGCCGGCTGTTCCGTCGCCCGGGACGTTGCCTGTGGGGGTCACAGCAGAGCCCCCGGCCCCGAGGGGCCCCGGGGGAAGACTACGTGCAGCAGGAGGGGAGCCACGGGGGGCTGGGGGACCCTCCTCGAGCTCGGTGGCGCCCTCCCTCTGGGGGACACGGCGAGCCTGCGCCCCAGCGCCCGGGCGGTGTGAGCGCGGTTGCGCCGGAAGTGCTCCGCGCCCCGTGAGCCTGGAGGGCGCGTTCTGGCGCCTGCGACGAGGCCGGGGGCGCATGGCCGGGGTATTAAGCCCCGAGGCGGCGCGGGGCGGCGAGCAGCCGCAGGAAGGCGTTGGCCCCCCCCCCCCCAAGCCCGGGCTGCAGGACCAGGACGCGCAGGACGCGCGCGCGCCCGCCCCCACGCGCCCCGCCTACCTTGGCCCTGCTCAGCAGCTCGGCCACCAGGCGGATGGACTGCAGGTTGCGCTGCGCCAGCAGCAGCTTGCGCTCCTCCAGCCGGATCTTCTCGTGCAGCTTCCGCTGCTCCTCCGCCTGCTGCTTCTCCACCTTCTTCTGCTGGCGGCGCAGCTCGCGGTCCCGCTGCTTCTGCTCCCGGCGCCGCGCCTTCTCCTCCCGCTTCCGCTCCCGCTCCAGCTCCTCCAGCTCCTTCTGCTTCCTGCAGGAGAAGCGCGCGGCCCCGCTCAGCACGACGGACCGCGCGCGCCCC